CTGAATAGGTTGAATGAGTGAAAATTGAAAACTAACCCATATACATTTTTTTTGCCTGTCACACAGATGCAACTTATGTTGATTGTTTTCCCGTTGGAATTAAACAATCTTTCTGTGAATTCATTGAGACTTTTCAAACTTTTTTTTTTAAATATCACTTGGAATAACTCACAGCAGCATTGTTTCCAATCCATTGTTTGGTTCTGTAAAAGGTCATAGTGTGTGTTCCTTTTCGTTTTAAATGACAGAACCAAGATGTTTTCTTTGTCGCTCTACTTGAAACGAAACATTAGGAAAGATACCCCCAACAATACTAAAAAGAGCGATAACAATTTAGCTGACTTGAGAAACCTGTTTTCCTGAATTTACATTTTTAAGAGGAAGATTTTTTTTAAAATTTCAACCGAACCTAAAATTGGGAACACGGTTAATGAAAAGCTTTGTCTAAATATCTGGGGTGATGTTGTGATCCTGTCTAAATTTACCTTAAAATAAAAAGAACAATATGCTAGAAATTGTGCTTATTTATTTTAACAGTGAATAAGTAAGACTCTATAATTTCCAGATATCATGATACGAGCCAACCCCAAGTGATCTTAGCCGATTCACACTAAGTATCTATAATATAATTCTACTAAGAAACTGGATAGCCTGGCAAACTAAGATATTTTGAGATAGCTTCGGTAATGTATATTCACTAGAGATAGTAATTAAAGAATAAACATCTGACGCCCAGACATTAGGTTTTAAAAGTCTCTTTATCAAATGTAAAATTGCTTTGATAGTTTAAAGCGATATTTGATAAATTAACTCTGGAAAATCACTTAATTTTTAAAATAATGCACTCACTTTATCTGACATATCTGTAAATCTTCTTCATCTTGCCAGCCAACCTCTTATTCTCTCTCCAAGTGTTTCTTCAACTGTAAGAACGGATTATTACTTTTCACCTAAGGTAACTTGATTTGAGATTTCTGTCATTTTAAAATATATCATATATCATTCTATTTAAGTATGTTAATGTTGAGGTAATTTATTTCCTTTATTCCCTTATGTCGTATTTTATTCTCATCCATAGAAAATGTCACGCAATCGGTTACATTTATTTGGCGTCACCGAGAGTGAGTTTATTCCGATATCTTTGCGGTTGTCAATTTTATTTCTGCTTTTCTTGTAAAAATCTCAATCTCAAATACACTACAAAGAGTGAAATAGAACGAAATCGCTAGGTAATTTCACTATATTATCTCTATCTTAAAGGGCTGAGATTAATTTGAACCAGAGAGGACGACTTATGTACTCATATTAGTGTGTATGTTAATTTAGTTACTGTGAGATGAAACTTGTTAAAGAGTTATATATTTCTTTGCCATAAAATGTTAAACATACCATTTCTGTATTAATGGAATATTAAAGCAACCAAATATAATGTGAATGTATACTAAATTAGAAAATAACGAAAGCAAAATTACATGCAAATGAGGGAATGAATTTTATTTGAAACTGTTCTGCTGAAGATGATTGCAATCATGAAAATGGACAAAGTGGAATTACCTATTTTCAGATTTCCTTGTAGACTGTGAAATTTCTGTATATATATCGCCTATTTATAATCCATTAACTTGACAATATGCTTATATAAATCCATGCTTACTCTGTGTTTCTCACACACACACAGACACACACATATATATATATATATATATATATATATATATATATATATATATATATATATATATATATTAGCTGAGGTAACTGGCGTTGCCTGGGTGTACCTGGCTGCTTGTTGTATAACCGTAATTTGTGTATAACTGCATGTCCTGTCTGTAAATGTCTGCTTGCGTCCCCACATGCATGCATCATCTGTTGGTGTGCTAAGTTGCTCTCCCTTCATCATTTCTGGGGTATTTCCTTCGCAAGTGTTCTTAATAAAGGAATTCCATCGATAAAAACCTTCTTTTGTGCTCGTTTCCCGGGATTAAATTGTTTCAATATTTAGCAAATTTTCTATGGCCGTAATCGCTTTCAAATAGTATCGCATTGTTCATTAATAATCAAACAAAACAGGATTAAATCGTCAGAGACTGATTCAACTGCAAGTGCAAATTCATGAACGTCACCTCCTTCTTAGCATGTTTACTGTAAAGTTATGGTTAATAAGATGTTCTTCTGTAGTTAGACAGGTTCTTTGCATCAAAGTTGTTTGAATGCCAATTTGGGATGGAATCATATGAAGAAATTATAGGCTAAATGGCAAAATGCTAGTTTACATGGCAAATCTGGAAAACCTCGGATAAAAATCCAGGGAATTATGGCTGAAAAAAGGGCTTTTTAAACAGTTCTGCGTGATGTTTTGTTAATACTCGGGAAGTGATTCGGACTAAAACATTGTCTAATTTCTTGTATGATGTCATAACTTTTGGCAAAATGTTTGAAGAAAATCTGATGAAAAAAGGGGCAGTTATTCAAGTTTTTATTTTAAGTAGTACAAAAGCCCTGATTTATTCACGGTTTCTGCAAATATTTGTGTGAACCAAGGTCGCAGGAAAACTATCAAGAAATATATATAAACCCCGTAACATGAGCGATGTTTTGTATTAAGAACAAAGAACATCAGCCCCTCCACTAAAAGTTTGTTCCCGTGTTATTTTGCATTTTAAAAAAAAAAAAAAAAGTCTTGGCTACCTTCAGTTTTATCAAATTTTCTGCCTAACCCTGGGAGTCCTGTAACTTGAAAAGTTGGTCTTGACCTAATTTCGTAAATATACAACAGGTCTGTATAGTGTCATCAAAATCAGTCTTTAAATAGGGACGCGCATAATAGCATACACACACAGACATCTCCTCTTTATATATATATATATATATATATATATATATATATATATATATATATATATATATATATATATAAAAAGAAGAGAGAAACCGCAAACATTTTTGGTTGTAATGTGGAGTTTTTAAATATATATTATGCTTTATTCTCAAAAATTTTGTAACAGGTGTTTAGGGTCTCCCGACCTTCTTCATGCAAAGAATGGATATTTCCACATATTATTAAAATGGATTAATTTTCCTTATGCTTCTCGATATTAAACACTCTCCTTTTTGTTTGATACTGACACAGATGTCTTTAATTGCCAAAAGCGAGTCCTCTATCAAAACGCGACATAGGCAAGCCAACCTTGAGGCGTGCTGATCACTCACCAAATTTGGTAATCCCAGCCCCCATGAAACGGACACTTGACACAAGGACAGATATTTTACTTATGACAACCAAAAAGGAGGGTGGACAACAAACGATTGATATCCTTTCTATGGTCCTGGAAGTACAGTGGAAGTACAGCCACCCGGTAAAGGATGATAGGAAAAAAAGTCGTAAGTGACACGGGCTCAGACCTACCTTTGAATGGCAACGTCCTTCGGAATCATATCCGGATAAACGCACTGACCTCTGCCTGTACATCTGACAACTTCTTCTCTAGGTGGTGTCCGAGACTGAACAACACTCCAAGAATGCGGATTGGTCCATCAGTCCAACTAAAGGACATCGGAAGAGCAACCCTCTTCCAGGCACCTAATCGCAAAAGAATTGCTGCTGTTAATCTTGGCCTCCATCACCTTTTCGTACTGTTCAAGAGACTTCTGTAGCACCTTAATATCGCTGCGGCGTGATACGAAAATGGATACGTATCGGCAGACGCGGCAACCCTGGCTCGAGCCACACTATGGACAGTGATTCTACTTAGGCCGGACTGCCAGCACTGACCTTTGAAGGAGCGACTCTAACGCCAAAGCATAAAGTGACAGCGGACAACCATCATGAACCAACCTCGACCGCTTGCGTTGCAGTAATAATACATTTCATGTTGACTTTATAGAGATTCTTTTCGACTTTAGTTGTGATAGAATTGGTAGGAAGAATAAAATATTTTCTTGTTTCATTGGGTTTCTCCGTTAAGAAATAAAATATTTATATATATAGTTCTGTGCTTAATTGTAGTTTTAAATGTGTTCATTGCTTCAGAGTAAATCCCTATATTATTGTTTTCATGCTAACGCGTGAACTGTGAAAAATGGCATATTCTTCCATTTGCATTTCACCCATTATTGGCATTATTATATCCATAAGATAACAAATTAGCTGGAAGAAAATAGGAATGACAAACATGCTTTGTTCTCCGAGTGAGTCTTATGATGCTAAGTCGTACAAAAAATTAAATATAAATTTACACGTGTGACACGCAGAGAAATCATTACACTTATCTACTCAACAAGCAGTTCGAAAGAAGAACAAAAAGATAAGGTCTTATATACTATATGGAGATCTGTTTGTTTCTGGAAGAGCCGTATAACGGTGGGTCTTGTTTGTTCTCCGATAGAGTTTTATGGTACTAAGTTATACATAAAATTATGACCCGTATGCAACAACAAACAGTGTGAAAAAATAATCTCGACTTGTAATATTTCCCGAATGGAAAACTGGAGTTACATCGGTTTGTATAGAAACCTTGTGCGGCCATTTCATTTTTCTATGTAAGTGTGAACCGCGTGAGCAACTGCTCTTGGTAACTCTCTCTCTCTCTCTCTCTCTCTCTCTCTCTCTCCCTCCTGATGTCATTCACCGACCGTCACGTGACTCTCGTGATTCTACAAAGGGAGATAAATGCCTTTCGTATACATACAATTCTTTACGCCTTCTTCACGTAGAGATCAATGGTAATTCAACTTTACCCGCGCAATATCTATTATTTGTGTACTACATTCAAAATACCACTCCACTAGGCTAGTTATTGTTCATCTTTATCAATTCTCGGTTCATTGTATTAACAATGATATCTTTTTAAGAATCCAAGCCTTGCTCGTAGTTATAATAATTGTGAATTCTCCAAAAGTATTCGTTATATAATTAATATAGAAAATAACAATGTTCATCACCATCATCAAAGGTGGAATATTCTAAACGCTATTCTAGCTTTGGCTTAAAGTGACTTCATATTGAAACACTGGTTCGCGTACGATACCCAACGTTAAGTAATGTGGTGCCTGGACTGTACCTAAATGGGTGACCGCTTGGGAAGGCCAGGTGCTGTAAGCATGAATGTGTGGGTGGTGTAATAGATAATTACTCGGAATTGATAATCAGAGAACCTAGTTCCAATTCCCGTCGGGGTCGTTATCTTCAGTTATGTGAAAATACCCTTGGGGAAATGTATGAACCCACCTGTTCTAAACCAGATATGGGTTAATAAATACAACTTGTATTACTAAACAATAATTATCTCCAAAAAAATCAAAAAATATCATTCAGTCTATAAATATCTGGCTCTAAATAACCTTTAAATTGTTGAAAAACCGGAGGAAACGAACCAAATCTTCAATAAAAAAATAAAAAAAATAAACCGCCATTGTCTCGAGTATTCATGTAAAGAGTTATAACGTAATGTAAATGAGATGAAAATCAACAGTGACAGATGCTTTAAATTCTGAAACCAGATTTAAGATTTCAAACTATGTACATGCAGAAGCAGTATCAGGGTAAATAGAAAACAAGGTTTATTTGATGCGGTGGAGAACACATGTGAGCAATGAGTTAAAACAGACTTTAAACAAATAGAAATGTGGTTCTACCGACAATCTCTCTGAATAACATGTGCAAATCGGGTGAACAACGATGACGCTATAATGAAAACAGAACTAGGTATGTCCTATTAAGAATCCAAGTTGAACATTTGTCGACCCAATCTTAGAAAGGTTACCTGGAGAATTTAATACTCCCAGAGCGAATAGATGACAGTAAAATCATAAGAAAGATTTATTTAATGAATGGCAGTACAAAAACGGGGATAGTATCGGGCTGACATTTATTTAAAGCAAAAAAAAAATCACTTTCTGCATTGTTCAACGCTTTTATCCGCTAGACAGGTGGGCACATGATCCAGTCGATAAAAGCTTTGGTTCAGTAATCCAAAACAGACTTCGTCCAAACACTTATGAGTATAATACCTGGCCACGGCAGAGGGAATAAAATCTGAGATGAGTTACTAAACTGAATTAACTGACACTGAGATATTAAAAAAAAACGCCATGACACGTTGAATTAGAACAATATACTCCCCTGAACTAAATTTCGGTTTGAAATTCCAACGTATATCACCTGCAGAAGGCCGGGGCGTACAACGGCCGAAATGTCATGAATATGGCAATGAAGATGAAAACAACAGACTGAACTATGTAAATATTTACAGCATTTAAAATAACTCATCTCAGATATGTAGGCAGACGTCAAAATAAAGTTAATGCTGTATTAGCTTGTGAGAAACCGTGATAGCGCACCTCCTGAATGCAAAGGGCACCTACATGAAAGGTAACAGTTTAGGTGTGCATTCTTCTTGTGTTTGCATGTCACCTGTAATTAATTACTTTAAAAATGTTCATTATTTACGGTAACATTTTCTCTTTCTCCTTATGAGATTTAAATCATTTAAACAGATTACCTATTGCTTCCCTTTATTTTATTCGGAAATTCAGTTCCTTTATTTAGGGATATATTTTTGGCCTATTTCTCTCAGTATGATCTCTTTTCATTGTTCTAAAACGAGACAAAAATGTCTTGCGACATTCCTTTTTTTCTTTAACAAAATCAATATTTCGCTGTGTATGCACTTCCTTTCTTTCGGGGGAAAAATTTTTTGGCAATCTTTCTTCTATTTTACATTTTCGTGCTGACATTTATATTTTTCTTTATGGCTTTATATTATTTTATTCCTCATCAACAACGTCGGTGATGGCATCTTTCTCGTTTTTCATTCTTCGACATTTCTTTACTTTTCTTTTCGTCTCCCTCTCTCCATTTTTTCCTTTCGCATACATCTTTTAATTTCTTTACTTTTATATTTCGTCCCCCTCTCTGAATTTCTTCACTTTTCTTTTCGTCTCCCTTTCTACAAGTGACATAAGTTGTCACCCTGTAAATACAGCACAGTCACATGAGAAGCCAGTAAGCTTTGCATTGGAACAGGCGAGTGACACGACTTGTTGGCGCCCAGGCTCGCGAATTCATTCGACTGGCTTCTCAGTAGATTGTTTCGTTTTATTGGAATGCAAAACAAAAGCGATAAATCTCGGACTTCGAGGATCATGGCATTTTTGTTTTTGGCTTATTTATTTCCTCATTTTTTTCTCTTTATCTGCAAGGATTTTTGTATGTCTTCTGTTATTTTTTCACTTCCGTCAAAATAAGATTTTCCCCCAATCTTCAACCTTCTCACCCTTTGAAAAAAAGACGTTTTAACAAGATTTTAAGAGACAATTCTTTCAGCAATTGTCATTTACAAGGTAATCAGATATTTTATACCGATGTTTTCTCTCCAAGCGAAATATTTTCGCTTAGGGATTTATGATATTGATATCAACCGAAATTTTACATATGGTTTCTTGTAGATTGTGGGTGGCTCAATGTCTTTTTATTGCACTTTGATCTAATAAGTAAAACGGGATGCCTCTGTTCAAAGAAGTACTAGTGTGACCAATATAGTGAAATGATTTGTGACAGGAAACAGTTTTGCAATGCGCAGTTAAATTGATACAATATATTGATACATATCGCTGTAATAAAAGCACTCAATATAAAACATCTGGCACCCAGTATTAATCTTACTATATTTAACAATGGAAACAATATTGTAAAGACTCAAAAAAAAAAAGAAAAAAAGAGAGACCAGCGACAATTTGAATCTAAATCTGGTTCCTGTCGCGGGACTCGGAATAAACGCTATATGTATCACTTAATTAAAACAAGAAATCACCCTGAAAAGAAATTAGCAACAATAAACATCAGATCCATTAAAAACAGCTAAGGAAGTGGCCGTAAATGCTAGGGACAATACACACTATGGACATTTTTCCACTCCGTTATCTCCACCAAAGGGAGAAAAATTAAGAATACTAGAAACACTCAATAAATATACATTATATACATATATATATATATATATATATATATATATATATATATATATATATATATATGTGTGTGTGTGTGTGTGTGTGTCTGTGTATGCTCATGATTGTGTGTGTGTACACACAAAATGCAAACAGGTAATCATTCAACTGAAATATATTTCTGCCAAATGAGAGTTGATTTTCTATTAATACGGCAGTCAAAGTATTTCATACAGTGTCAAGACTACCCCTTCCGGATTCTATTAAAAAGAAACACGCGAAACTAAAAGTTTCACTCAAACATATATATCCGTTTCGGTGCATTTAGTTGCACCTCAACTGGTGTCTTTGTCTATATGAAAAACTTATAATAGATAATTATCTATCTACCATTGGCATTGAGTCCTCTTTTGAATTAATGCAGTGAACGTTAGAATTTATATATTATTCTTGTTCTCATTACATTCGGAGATATATATATATATATATATATATATATATATATATATATATATATATTATTATTTACATCGTTCTGACTGTTTTCGTCATCTTTTTCCCATATTTCCGAAGTTTCCGACTTTATAAACTCCCGCCTTCTTAAGATTATATTCGCTGAAATTTTGAACTGAACCTTTCATTTAGTACACGGGGTTATATTGCTCTAATTCCACGAACCACGTCTCTCAGTTTCAGGCAATTTCATTTAGTCCTCAACTCTCCATGTTTCTTCCCTTTGGGTCATGTCTCTTTTGGATTACTTCAACCAACGCTTTTATCCCTGGTCCTTGGGGACATCAGTGAATGATATTATGGTGTTTACCAGAGCTCATATTACAATATTCTTTATTGCTGCGTTTCTCTAGATCTCTGTATTACTGGTTCCCATATTGTATTCATGCCTATGTTGGCAAGTGTTGGAGATTTTTGTGTCCCAGCATATGCTCTGATTCATTAGAACTTCGTATTTTACAGTTATTTTCTCTGTTATTTCAACTTAATCCCAAAGAGGCCGGTTATCCTCTTTTTCTCTCTGTATATGGTCATATATATATATATATATATATATATATATATATATATATATATATATATATATATATAAAAGGCAGGATGTGTGTGTGTGTGTCTCTGTGTGCGTAACGAATGCATGGGCGCAATTTTCGATGAATTTGCACCAAAAATTTACATGCACATGCTCCAAGTTAGCGGGAAGGCCAAGACCGACCTTGCATTTCCCAACTCCCATCGATATTGGAAATAATCGATTTTTTCATGCTTCTACGGCACATTTCATGTAGTTTGCGGCCATTTTGTACTGGCCAGATTGAACGCCCTTAGCTGGTCACCACGAACAGGCAAGAAGTTTCTATTGGCCTGCGTGAGAGCCAACAGCTGACTGACACGAATGTTAACTATCATGCTGGCATGCAAAAAATATCGATAGCTGCATTCGTCATAAGTGAGAAAAATTTAAATCTGCATGGCACTTTACTCCAATTGGCTCATTCGCTTGCTTAAACTCAACGTTGATTCTGATTCTGCAGAACTGGGTTGGGTGTGAAAAAGTATTTGTTGTTGACATTCTTTTTTTCATTCGGTTTTTCTAGTTACGAGTCCTTTTTTAAATCTGATCATTTTGTGTTCATTTTGTTTAGTTCTTTTTTCGTCACAGATTTAATGTTTAGCTTAGAAAAAATGTGCAGTGTGAGATAGGCAAGAAGTAAGGCATGTAGCAACATCAGCACGACAAAGGGCACTCCTTTAAAGGCAAGGAAGAGCAAAAATATTTTAAGTCAACTGATAGCGATTGCTGTATGAGTCGTACGTTTTTGAATCAAGCACGGGCAACACTCCATATATATATATATATATATATATATATATATAATAATGGAACAATGCAAAATAAAACTGGAACGTCTTCTCTAGGGCGTGTTCATTCAGGAAGTTGTCGATCATATCTCTCTACAATTTTCTGTCCTTTTTAGTTCTTAATAAATATTTTCTTTGTTATCTTTGATAAACCTTATTCTAACAGTATGCTGGGGAAATTAACGTAAATCTACTGCGGGAATTCTTATGCCATGTCAATCATGAATTGTAAAGAGACATGCTCGCCCAAGCGTGAATCACACAATATTAACAGAAG